ATGAAGGAACAAAAGCAGCAAAATACTTCATTTTGGAGACTAAATCTGCCACAGAGCCCTGCCGTACTGATTACCAGCATGTCAACAAGACCATTTCAAAGCATGGGTTACTGTGGACTCAGTATTTACCTGAGCTTTTCATGCTTTCCTCTTCAATAACCTCTAAAGTAGCCCAAAAATCCTTCCTCTACTATAGTTCCATCTCTTGAATCTTTCCCAGGGAAACATTCATTTTCCACAGCCAAGGAAAAAGGATATACTATGCATGACAAAATGGCTAAAATCCTTTCAGTAAGTGTATACACTGGGATAGTTTTACTAACAAACAAGAGATTTCAAAATCTTTATCTGCAGGGATGGAATAAAGAATTCAACAAGCTTTTCCTGTTAATATTACTCGTAATGCTCAGAGCACTTCAGCACAAGGTCCTGTATGATCTGAGCAATTAGATGTTCCTACTGCCAGAAGTTAGCAAAGTAAAACTACAAAACTGATAAAATAAAGCTGATGTTTGGAAAAAAAAAAAAAAACAACCCAACCCAACCCACCACAAAAACCAAACCAACCACCAATTTCTAAAACAAAAGCAAAACCAGGAATCTGTAACTAAATTCATCCCTCCATTATCTAGGTTTCATTTCCAGGAAGCTAAATGTGCCCGAGTATACCAAATGAATCACATCATGCTCAGGTCAGCATAATTCATTGCGAAACCCAAGAACAGTTATTTCTGTTCTATGAAGAGATCAGGGTAGAGTTAGAATCACAGAACAGTTTGGGCTGGAAGTGACCTTTAAAGGTCATCTAGTCCAATCCAACCCCCTGCAATGAACAGAGACATCTTCAACAACATCAGGTTGCTCAGAGCCCCGTCTAGCCTGACCTTGAATGGTTCCAGGGATGGGGCATCTACCATGGCTCTGGGAAACCTGGCCCAGTGTTTCACCACCCTCATTGTAAAGAATTTCTTCCTTATATCTAGTCTAAATCTACCCTTGTTTAGTTTAAAACCATTATCCCTTGTCCTCAGGACTCCAGGATGCATCTTACAAGGTCCCATAGACTTCTTTTCAGGTTCTGTAGGTGGTCACGAACCTCATCTTCTTTCACAGCGAGGAGCGACTCTGATCTCCTAGTCCCCGTCTTGCCATCCATCCACTCAAGAAGTGTGGGAAGAGAGACTGCCAGTGAAGACTGAAGCAAAAGTTGTTGAGTACCTCAGCCTTCTCCTTGTCTGTTGTAACCAGTTTGCCAATCTTGTTCACTGGGGGAGTAAATCTCCAGATATCACTTTTCATTTGCAAATGGCATGATCTCCCTACTTCAGTCAGTCTGCCAGCGTTACAGATTGCAAGCGAGCTTTAATGATGGAACTCCTGCACCAATGACACTCAATCCAGTGGCTCTGTTGCACTGCACCACCCTTAATGTAAACAGAACAAAGAAAAGGGGCAGACTCAAGCTACTCTAGAGACTGAGGAGACGTACAGCTACTGCAGGAGCATTGAGATATACAAAGTTTTCAAGTGACCAATAACTTCAGCTCAATTAGTCAATTTTCTCCAGCTATGTAACTCAGTGCAGTCATTTGTCACCGAGCTCTGGGGAGTCATCCAGGGAGAAACAAGAACCCTTTCCCCACTGCAGGCTGTCACCTGGGCAGTCAGCATCTCTCAGCACTTGGGCTGTTGTATAAATTACATCCCTCCCAGCTTGGTCAAGTATGTCCATCATTCAGCACATATGTAATCTTCGCTATTTTATTGTCTCATTGATGGAAGAATTAGCTGCACAGTAGGAAACACATTAAGAAAGGACTAGCAATTATTTCGCCCGTGTTACTAACTTCTTTAATCCTCTGTAATCTCTTCTAAGGGGGATTCATATCTACTCAAATCACTTCACAGGAGACATGTATAATGTAACAGAGACCCTACACATCAGGAAAAACAAAAAACCCCTTCTACTGGTCCTCCAGAGCATCAAATGCACCAGCCATTGCTGGAGGATGGATCATAATTTGCAAACAGTATGCAATGGCACTGTCCAAGTTCCTTGATCCATTCAGCTGGGAAAGGTCATCATCATCTAGGTCATAACCTCTGTTTCTCCAATTATGAGCCAACCACAGCCTAACAATAGGAACCTAGTGCTGTTCTAAGCACCTTGTGGTGTTCCCATCTGCGCAGAAAGAATCTACTTCTCCATTTCGGAAGCTGGTATCTAATGTGGTGAGGCTATTCAAAACCTTTTTCTGGTTTGGAGATGTAATTTGTGGATCTTGAAGGCTCAGGAACTATGTCACAGGATCCTCAAATCACATTACAGGAAGACCATAATGAAATAAATATTTTTAATCTGTTTGTTTGTTGTTCTGCTTTGTTTTTCTATACTGACATAGTGAACCAAAGCTGCTGATTACTTCTGCAGCTGAGATGGGGCAAACCAAACAAACACACAAAAAGACAGGCAAGATTCAGCCCAGAGAAGCTAAGGTGATGTAAGTGGCAAGGGAATTACCAAGGCAGTGCCATGTATAATTGTAGCTCTTGATAAATAAACTTAGATTGCAGAGCAATTTTTGCATTTGTTTGTTTCCACTCTCCTGATTTTCAGCAATGATTCACCCAGTCTTTCTTTCTTCTCTAAACAGCTTTGTCTTTTCCATATGTGCCCTACTGCAGTTTTCTAAGCCGGCTTCAAGTTGGTGTTACTGCAATGAACACTACTGGGACTAGCCTTCACTTACCACTCACATTTGACTAGGGCATTAATAGTTCATTAGTTTGGTGAAGCTGCTCATGTCAGCTTTAAATGTATATTCTTTAAATGACGCGGTGCTATTCCAGAAGTTTCCAATATACAATACCTTAGATGGTGTTAAAATTGGCTTACTTGTCGGACATTTGCTATACAACAAAAAGTGAATTAGACCTGTCAAGGCACTTTATTATGTTCATTTTGACCTGTATCAGCCAACATACAGTGACTTTAAAACCCAAGACGTTTTCTGAAGTTGCTGATTAGATAAAGCCTGAGTTATTTTAGAGGCACCTGGGAAAAGAGATGTTTGTAAAGAGCTGTCGTCCATTGTGGGTAGTTTAAAGCAAAACCACATATAGTTTATCCACCTGTGGCAAATTGATCCATCAACATGCCTAAGAATCACCAGCATTTGAACAAAAAACCTATCAGATTTAATCAAAGTAATGAAAGAGGGTCAAAATACATAGAAATTCTTCACTACCTTTCAAGCAAGATTTCTTTCAATAAAACTCAGCAGCTAGAGTACTTCTTTATCTCACTACCTGTGTATGCCTGACTTCATACCCCTCTAATCTTAGGGCTTACCATGATGCAATAAGAAATACTTTATCAGCTCAGTGTCTGTCCAGATCTACACAATATGAATTATTGTATGCTTTGAAATAAAGCTCTATGATCTTAATTCTGGCTGGAGAGGAGCAATTACTCATTTGATTCCAGTGCATCAGTGTGCAGTAACCAGAGAGAAGCTGAAGGGGTTAAACCCCTGGTGAGGTTTTTCACTCAATGGTGGCTATGTTGTTTTCACCGAGAGTGACTAGGGATGACACTGTTTCCCAGAAATTCACAAGTTACCCCAAAAGTTAGTTTATCCCTCTTTAAAAAATAATATCTCACCTTTATGATGCTTGTGGAATTCTGTGAAATGCTTAAGATAATGACTTTGAGTTCGATTTAGGGTTTAGAAGAGAATAATGCTATATACCAGTGCACAGAATCAAGCTGATTTGAGACTCTCCATAAAACCAGCACTATTCATACACTTAGCTGTCTCTGTGATTTAATGGTAGAGCCGCTCACCTCATACGCAAAACCATATAATTATGACTATGGCATCAATTCATTAATCAAAATGACAGAGGGTCTCAGGATCAAACGAGAGAAGTTCTGGTACTTCTAATGACAGCAGTGCCTGTGATACTGCCATACTGGATCCATTTGTGATTGAACTGGAAACCAGCTATTTTCTATACTCAATGGAATTCTGATTTATTATGTGCTTGAAATTACTGTGGATTTCTATTAAAGATAAACACTTGGCAGTTAGGTACCACACTTGCCTGTAATTTAGTTATGTAACAGTAGTATCCTCCATAGACCCCACATCCTTTGGGGTTTTTTGTTTTTCAGATATGCAACTTTCAGAACCAACTTGGCATTTTTTAAGAGTTTGGCCTTCTTCCTGAGGCCCTAAGCAAACCTCAAGCCATGAAGGAGCGGGGAATTTATAGAGGCCTGCACAGACTCAATCAGCAGTTTCCTTTCCACTGACATCCACAGGAAGCCAGGATGTATGGAAAGATGGGGGCATGCAGACATCAACAATTACAGATAGGCCACTTTTCCCACATTTGGAAATGTACAGCTCAAGGCTACCTATTTAGTGTCTTTAATGCATGGGAAACCTTTGCTAGCTGGCAGATACTCTCTCTGAAAACTTTATTAGTTTATCCTATTACTCAGCATATGCCATGGTAAAGAAAAGCTGCAAGATGACAAAAAAGGGCCAAAGAATATGACATTTTGGGTGAAGCTGTAATGTTCAAAGAACATTTCTAATTGGTAAGTGTGCCACTTGAAAATATGCTTTGTGACTCAAATATTTCAGGTACGCTCATAGACAGAGCTACTGAAAAAAAGCTTTGAAAGATGACACACAAGCCCATATGGCCTCATACATTCACTTAACTTACTTGCACGTTCTGAATATGGTATGATCTCCTCTAAAAAGAAGAAATTTATGTTGAATGACTGCAGCATGTTAATTAATTTGACTTGTGCATTTGTAAACTGTTTATAGAGACTTACTACTGACTCAGTCTTTAGAAACACACCCCCCCGATATCAACTGTTCTGGCTGAGGATTGCTTACAGGGCAAAAACTACTGACTCAGAACCCATCTAAAAAAGAAACTGCAAATTTAGGGGACTGAGATAGAAAGAAGTGACATACCCTTCCTCAATCGTAACAGAATTCATGATGATGCAGTTTGTTATCTTAACTCTGTCTTTTATGGTACACATGCTGCCGATGATGGAGTGTTTAATGGATGTCTTCTCCCCCACTTGCGTGGATGACCCAATGATGCTGTCTGATCCAACCTAGGGAAGAAAAGAATGGAAATTAGCAAAAGCACACAGAGATGTCTGATACGTGCTCTCCATACACCTTTTCCAAACAGCACGTCTCAAGCACTCATCATCAAAGCGTATCCTGCTCTACCCTTAGGGATTCTTGGCAGAGGAAAGACCTAGAAACTTGAGGCCCATCCCATATTCAGACAGTTGGACAGTCTCCCCAAGGTCTATTAGCTTGGTAAAACTCCAATGTCTAGTCTTGCTCTGTAGGCCTCATGCAATAAAATAACCATAGTAAGAACAGTCCTGATAGTACTTTGCTGGTTTAACTAAGGTTTGCCCAGTGAGACCTGTGAAAAGGAGACTTGAAGCTGGTTTTCAAGCAAAATTCTTCAGCAAGAAGCACAGCTAAAATACTGGCCTCTTCTGAGTTTGGTGTCCTTTGGGAGGTAAACTGCTCAACTACTGTGAACTGGTATTAGGAAACAAGAGACTATTGACTTGGGAGCAAGACAGACAGACTTTTTACCAAACATTTCTAAAGACCAAGACTCTGGGCTGTGTCATCTACACTGTAATTCCACACTTCAAAACTCAGCTTCACTTCCAACAGTAGAACTGAATTTTAGGAAGCAGTTCTTAAAGTAAAGGGCATAAAGATTGTATTAAAAGAGCAGAGACTGGAAAAGGGAACACTTACCATGCCTCTGTCTGTGATCTGTGCTGTCCCGTGAACCAGCGGCTCTTCCAGACCCAGATTAAGCAATAGTTTAGGAACCTGGATGGAAAAACCCACATCACAAGTTAACACACAGTTCTGTACCCTCAAGTTACATAAACAGCTCAAAGATGGTCTTGATTCCCATTGCACTAGTGCATCTACCATAAACATTTAACTCAAAGGAAAACACAGGTTCCTGCATTTTAAATCTGCAACCAGATAAGTGTGATTTATCATCTTGCCCTTCTGTATGGGAAACAGGTACTCTTCCAGTGCAGTGCACACTGCATGTCTCAACTCAGCTTCCCACCTGTGGAAAGCATAGGATCAGCAGCAGCAAGCAGGCTGGCTCCAGCTTAACACAGTGACATCCTGTACATCACAATGTCCAGCATCTGCCACTTCAAATGCAGATCAATGTTGTTTTACACTGCTCAGAGGGAAGCAAGTGGTATTAAATATACATCATTAAACTGGCACGGAAAGATGACTATGTTCAGCCCACTCAGTAAGATAGTATGCTGAAGTACAGGCAACAAACAGTATTTCAGATGTTTAAGCAGAAACTGAAGTTGATCAAGTGGCTATTCCAGATGGTAGAAAGTTGTAAAAGAAAAGGCTCTTGAAAGAGAGAAGGCAGGTGTTAGATAAGCAGACAAAGTACAATGGTAATAGAGAGAGACACAGCCCATGAGGTAGCCAAGAACAAATCCATGGAGAGCAATTCTGAACTGGCTCCTGAAAAGAAAGGGGAGCCAGTGTTGTAGGAGGATGGGATATCACTCCATCGTTCCTCCTTTTCTGGGTGAAAGAGCAGCCTGAGGCACTCTGCATCTCCTGGCGTCAGGCTGGGGCCAAGGTCACACACCAAAGAAGAGGTGATGACAGCACGGGTGGGGATTTCAGAGGAGGTGGGAGTCTCACAGCAGTACACAGATATACTGCTGCACAGCATTTCTTGCAGTGGTGATGCAATGTATGATGCACCTTGGTAGGCCACAGATGGCAGTCAAAGAAACACAGCAGATACAGAGGGTGAGCCAGGATGCATGCACTGACTGTCCATCTGGGATGTCAACTGGAGTCTCAGCACAGTGATGGTGTAACTGGGTTTGCCTGAGGGGAGGAAGTGGTACTCATTAAGTCTCTCTTTTCCCTACCTAGACACCTATTTTTACAAAACTTTTAGGAAAGTTTATCTTGGAGATCTCCATTGCTCTGAGATTAATTTGGCTGAGACTTGCCAGCAATTTCCAAAGCTGCTATGAAGAAGCTGCCATACGGTATGATTGTGTAAAACAACTTCCTTAGAAAGCTGGGATCACAAGAGCTGATGGCTAGGGAGTGAACTTCAAGAAGGAGATCCCACAGATCTGAAGTTGGGATCAGAGGAGAAAAAAAATATCTCAGCATCTCAAATGAGAAGATATTTGCAGGAAATTATTTGGATATTCATAATATGACTAGCCCATTTCTCTTCCAGCATGCAAGGATGAATAAGCAGCACTGGTTTTCCTATGATAAGAATTTTCACAGTTGATGCTACATTCAGATGAGTGAGATGAGCTCAGATGAGCTCACACTTCTGTGCTATCATCTGAAGCTGCCTGTTGCCCCCAGCAGACATTTCCACATCTGTAGTTCTTTACATCTTGAAGACGGTCCTTCCTACTAGACTTGTGTTTTCTTTGTTCTTTAAAAACCAAGAGCAGGTTAGATCTCTCAGTCCAAGGTGTAGGTGCTACAGAAAACCACCAGCTTACCAGAACACCACAAACTAACTCAATCTGCCTGGATGGTGCTGGCTTGTTGAAAGGATGTTGTCCTCACCTGACACACAGCTAGGCGGCCACAACAGACAGATCCGGAGAGGAACACACACCAAAACATACCTACAGCATAGGTTGGAAAGATTCCTACTACCCAGTGTTGCTCTTTGGGAAGGGAAAGAAATGAGGAAAACCTCTTGCCCTCCTCAGTGGAAAGATGGTGTGGTGAAATAAATAAAGGATTTTACTGGCCAGAGCAAAGCCCTTATTAGAATCAGTCAATAGTTGTGCAGCCTGAGGGGTAACCCAAGAAAGCTACCAGCTCAAGCGTTTTGCTCTGAAAAGGAAGGTTAGATAGGGGGCAGGAGTCAGAGGGAGTGCCTGGGTCAAGGGAAGGTTTAAGATGTGTTTGGATTTAATTCATCTTACAAAGAAACTATTTCCTGCTATTGAAGATAACTCCCTCCTGAACCCACCTGCCCACACACAGGCTGCAGGCATCCAGAAACCCAGCTGGAAGTGAAATGCTGTGAGCAAAGTGTTTCCTCACCAGAAGGGCAATGGGTTAGGATGCCATTCCTTCCCATGGCTACTGGGCTGGACGGCTACTGCTCCCTCCATGAGTCTGTCCTCTATGGACAGCAAAGTTATAGGTCCTGGCTTTGCAGCAAGGGAATCAGAATCTGGTCTGTGAAGACCAAGATAAGAGCAAACAAGACACAAGAAACTCTTCTGCAGAGATGGTCAAAACAGGTTAAAAAAAGCAGATAAAATTAAACATGTAGCTTTTATGAGAATCTGCAAGAGAAACAAAATGCAGTGGCACTGAAAATAAGGAACTCCTTTCTCACAACCCCTCATTAAGCTCCATTTTATGTTATACCTCCACATAGTTTCCTTAGAAATTTTACCATCCTGGAAAAGCAAAAAATTCAAAGAGAATCCTTTCCAGCATTGAAGGCCCCAGTGTGATTTCAAAACACTAATTCTATGTACCACCCAGGAGCAAACACATTTCCTGCACTGACCAAAATGTAGAATATTTAGGTTAAAAAAGAAAAAAAAAAAAAAGAAAAAGAAAGAAAAAAACAACACAAAAAAACCCACATGGAGTCTGACTGGCTTAACTCAATAACTTTTTACTGAAGTGGCTGCTGCCAAATGTATACGCACACTTCCCCCAGCAAGTGGTGTTCTCCCTTAACCCTTTGGGCACACTCGCTCCTGATATTCTTGGAGAAGGTTTTCCCTATCTGACAGCAGTGCCCCTCCTCTCTTCCTCATGTCCCTATCACTTTATTTCTGTGCTCCTCTGCAGGCACCGAGGAGAAAGAGCTCCAGTGTGTAAACTCACTCTGCCATGCTGCAATTTAATTTGCATAAATTCATCCATTCATTTTATTAAAAAGGAATCAGCTCAATCTGAGAGCACTGGCTAGGCAGTGACCACTTCCAGCATCCCAAATACAACTTTATTGCTCTCCCAGCCCCACTTCCAGAGATCTTGAGTCCTTCCCTACTGCACTCCCTATTGATTTTCAAAACTAGATGAAACTGTCCTCTAGTTCAAGCAACAAAGTTCATCACTAGCACAGTGCAATGAGAACTTATATACTGCATCAGCCAGTGTAGTAAATAACCCCCAAAATGCCTCCCCCCCCCCCCCCCCCCTAAAAGCTTTTAATCATCAGCTCATTAGCTAGCACAGGGTTTCTGTAATCCTCCCCTGTGATCTCTTCTTTTATGAATTTTCGGTAGTGTCAACGTGAAAGCTGCAGCAGGTCAACATTTCACCTCTGTACCTAGAGCACCACTGTAGTGAAACCTCTTCATAAAATAATTCTTTCAGAATGGAAAGCATTAGGCAATTTAGAATGGAAGGCAATTTGAATGTATGGGTAGTTTACGACTTCCTCAAATCATTAGTAACCTTTGCCATAATCACTGAGATAAACAGCTGTTAGGAAGAGTCCAGTCAGAACTGATCTTGCCTTTAGGGCATGGAGGACACTGATTAAATGAACTATCAAAGCTACTTCGAGACTTATTTTCCACAATTCTTGGCTCTTTGGCTGCAGGTCTTACCACCCCCAAAAACCAGAGGAGTATGTGAAGTGGGGACTTTCTTAGCTATATCAAAGCTATGGAGTAAATTAGTGACAGAACTGTTTCCAGGCCTCATGTCCCTATCCAGAAACCAGTAGGGTGATGTGCGTAGGTAACATGGTGTTGGTTCAGTTCCCACACGTTCCTCAGCTGTATCGCAGGGAGGCATTCCTGGAGGCTGACATGTCCCATAAACTACTGCAGTATTCCCACATGGCAGTTCTGTATTTTCCTCACCTGTCGGTTAGCTTCAATATACAAACCAAGAGTATTCACTCGGTAGCAAAGTCCCTCTTTCATTATATGGACATAGCAGCGCACTTTTCCTTCATGGAGAGTTTCATTCATATCTCCTCTATGATCATTCCAACAGGAGTTATCTGCAGCAGGTTTCAGCAAGCTATTATCTTCCTTTATGAAACTGTAAATGTCTGGAGAACACACACATGCATAAAGTTAGACAGGATTTAATGAAATGCTTTCTGAAGAGGAATACTATTAAAATACTGTTGGTGAAGGGAAATCTTTGCCTCGCATCATCTGAATGGCTAGATACTTAGCAATCATTAACAGATTTTATCACACACAGAGTGAGTAAGTGCTTATTTTTATTCTGCAGGTGCGAATCAAGGGATCAGGACACATGCAATGTTTTGCCCAAGGTCGCACAAGGAGACAGCGGAAATGCTAAAAATAAGTTTCAAGATCTGAGATCCTGTCCAGTTTCCAGTGGAGGGTAGTTAAGGCCTAGTCTGTTGTCGTACGCAATTCAGGAACTCCCTCCTAGAATTATATTTTCAAAAGTGCATTTACTTTGAATATATTCCAGAGAGAACATACAGAGCATTCAGCTGATCTGGTTTCATTTTACACCAAAATAAGGCAGGACAAAAAAAATTTATACAATGCACAATATTGTTTGAAGAAAGAATCTTTGCTATCATGAAGTATAACGGAAAAAAGCCCAAATCCTTAAACTAGTGTTTCAGGCTCATTCAGTACTCTACCCAGTAATTAGCATATGGGCTTTAAAACCATCCAATCTTTGATACTTGTACTGACCTAGGGATGTTTGTTCTTTTTTCTTCTGGTCCTCTTCTCTGTTGTCTAGTCCTTGCTGCAATGATGTAGGAGAAGAGAACTGTTTCCTAACCAGATGTGGAATCAGCTCACTCCGGAGAGATGTGATTGATCTGGGGAAGGAGATGCAAACATGAAGGCCATAAATACTAAAACTTGCATGTCTTCATCCTGTTTGCATAACATTATCAGACATTTTGAACATTCTTCATGATGACAAATCAGAATTCTGGGTACTCCGAGACATCTGGCACTAAGACAGTGTCCACTAGTCACATGCTTCCTTAATGCATTAAAAAATAAAGGAAAATCCAAAATAAGGAAAAAATTTCATCTTCAGAACTAATTCCCCTTTATTTTAACAGAGATGTCTATAAATTAATATGGCATCATCCTGCAATTCATGCTTGTGTGCGGAAAGTACCAACATCATAATGACAACAACTGAAATCCACTTTATGTGGCTTAAAAAAATAGCATCAACTGACAGGAAAAGAGAATAAAGTGCCTACAGAGCAAAAACCAAAGCAGCCACAAATGCTTTAAACAAGGACCCTGGATCACTAGATTATCTTTCCTCTTGCATTGCTTTATACATCACAATGAATCAAGGAAAAAGTCTCCCCAGTAGACAAATATCAATGTAGAAAGTCTACTGTGCAATGGGATTATAACCCTGGTAATTTAATTTTGACTATTAGAAGATAATTTTACTTTTCAATAAGGTATTTGGAAAAGGCCACAAATCAATAGTTTTTACAGCAGTAGTCCACGAGATGCAGTCTTAAAAGAGCTTTATTGTTGTTGTTTCATTATTTTAACAATCTGTATTTAGTTATTGAGTTGTGGATTATTTAAAGTAGTGCTTGGGAAAATCATGCGGAAAATGAACTCAAACTTGGCATGTATAAGAGGAAGTGCTAAACTTCAGAGGAAGGATTGGGAGAACTAACACAGAGAGCTTGGCTAGGGGAACTCCACAAATGATAACTCACAAAGAAAGAAGAATTACTTAGAACAGAAGACAGAAAAATTAGGAACTAACTGTAGATTAAATTAAACAAGGGAAGTACTAGAATGAGTATCCTGAAAGTGATTTTGGTTGGGAAAACCTATAGCAAAAGGGGATCTGAAACAGTTCAAACTTTAAGAAACAAGCAACTCATAACCTGCCCGGGCCTCTGTTCAGGTCAATGACAGTGGAGCAGATCTAAGGACCATAACAGTCTTCCCTGTCTATAACTCTGACAAGAAGATTCAGATGTGATTGCCAGTTCAGCCTTATGACCAAGTGAAGTGTTTTCCTTTTTTTTGACAAACACTTCCTTCAGTCCTCAACTGTAGGTGGTGTCCCATCCACCCTCCTTCAGTGGGATGATCTAACCCATTCCAGATCTGAAACCCTGCTTTCATTTTTCATTATAGACAAGGAAAATCTCCAGTCTTCAGTCTCTCCTCCTTCTTGAAAATAAGATTATAATCACCTTCAGATAGCTCTATTACAGGAACTAATGAAGCAAAACACTTCATTCTTTAGTCACCAAATTTCTCCCTGCTAACCACTTACAGGCACGCTCTGCCACGGCCGCCCTGGCCCCGCGCTCCGACACACGTGTGGCTCTGCAGATGGGCAGTTTACTAGCTTACACTGTTTGCCTGCAGCTGTGCCATTCAGCAGTGATTTCCTGCTTGGGTTTTATACTCCATCCAAAACCGACAATCCTGTGTTTCCCTCAGAGGCTGGCCATGGCATTTATAAGATATATTACCTATAAAATATCCAAGTATTTGGCAGTCTTAAATAGTCTGATGCAGCGGACAACACAACACAGTAGGAAATGAAAGCACTGGAAAGGGGAAAAGACAAAGTTTTGCCTGGTTTTTGATGGTTTAATCTTTCTTGGCCAAACTCCTGAAGCTTTCCTGCAATTCTCTGATGTGCTAGCCACATTCCTACAGCAAAGGTGGAGTAAATCTCCAAGTCATCCATAAGATGTGGCTCAGAAACACACCCTTCTTACTGGAAAAGGCAAACCAGGAAGGTTTGACTTTGCTTGCTGTTTAAGCAATTTATCTACGACATCAGAGGAATTTGCCTTTGGAAAGTATTAAAAAAAAAAAAATGTGGTTAGGCACTTGGTGACAAAAATTTGGGAATTTCTGGTGACAGATCTTGCAAATGTGGATATACGAAGTGAGAGCGTGAGAATATAATCTGACTGTCAACAGCGGGGGAAACCAAACATCTGGCTGGGACTAGGGAAGGAATTTAAATCAAAGGAGGGATAGGACTGAAGACCCTTCATCAGGAGAGAAAAAAAATCAGGAGGAGTTTGGAAGAACCAACTGGCCTGTAACCTAGATTTAGGAGAAAACAAACTAGAAAGGTTTCTAGTTTAGTATCTTAAAAATTCTTACAATCAAATCCTCAACTACGTGTGCCTACATTAAGGAGAAATAAGTGTAAGACTGTATATGCTGAAGAAAGCCTTTTTTTATTCTCTTCAGGTTTTAAAACTTGGCATCCCCTGGTTTCTAAGCTTGTTATTTTCTTTAGCACTAAGAAGTAAGAATGAAATACCCACTGAGACCAACATAAGGAAAAATCTACTAGACCCAGGAGAAAGAAAGTGGAGGGGTGGCTGGAAGGAGGGGAGGACACACAGAATTTTGGCAGAAATCCAGTTATAAGCCAGCTCAAAATACCCTGCTCTGATACCTCACAGCAAAATCCAGACAGCAGAGAGGATAAAATCTCTGCTTTTGAGAAACACTTACCAAAACAAACATGCTTTCATGAATTCTAGCCCAAGTGACGAGCCTTTTTCATGATCTTTCAGTCCCTAAGATGTGATGTTTGCAGTTATACATACCTGTTTACACCTTGACAGAAAGCAGTAGGTTTTCAACTAAACCATGAAGGAGTGAGAGTGCTGTTACATTGCTGCTTAAAGAGAGAAACGGGGGGGACTAATCCCTGAAGCACTTTACGTGGTTTCAGTCCTGTGAGAACAACAGGCCGCAGCAATTCTGAAAGGGGGTTGATCCTGATCACATTTTAAGCAAGTAAAATGAAGAAATGTTGCTGGGATGGAATCTGCCATCCATACAGGTCACAAGAAAGTGGGATGTTGGGAAAAGACAGTGCATACATGGGGAGAAATGAAGACAACGGGGCAGTTGAAATTCATGGTGCACGTGCAAGAAACAGCTGGGAATGCAAAGGAAGGTGAAATTTTTAAAAGCAAAAGAACCCCCTGGAAAAGTTTACATTAAATGTACCTAAGAGCTCAGAGCACACACCAGTCATTTGCAGTCAGCTCTGCAGGCTGCAGCCTCAGACCTCAGCATTGTAAACCTAAGGTATTCAAGGTTCATTTTATTTAAAATCTAAGCTGTTAAGGTACAAAAATGGATACTTGGTCAGACAGCTGTGATTTCACCAAGTACTATCCTTACCAGAGAGACATAAGTATCATACCTTTAGAACCCCTTTATCCCTGGTCCTTGTGCACTACGTCTTCCCAGTGTTCCCAGGATTTTTGCAAGGCAGAGATAAGGTTCATGATATATGAAAAAACTTTAATTGCGAAGAACATAAGGTGAAAATACCCCAGATCCTTAAGTTTCGTATTTCAACACAGCTACACAGAAGTTTTGGGGGAATTTTAACCACAAATAAAACTAGAACAGTCTGTGATATGGCAGAATTTTCTATCTATGTATATTATATTACATTACATACATTATGGCCCACAGAGGGCCAACTTTTACTTGTTGCTGAAATGCAACTGCCTCTGGGATGAAGAGAAGCTTATTGAAACTTCAGCAAGAAATGAAGAACAATGGAGCCAGATGAAACACAAGAAGTATTTTGGGGAAAAAAATAAATGTTGACCACTTACATTTAAAAAAGTTATGTACTTCACAATTATGGTTCAAGGAGGTGAATTCTGCTCTTAGACGTAAGTATTGCTGGAGCCTCTGTCTTTCATTTGACACAGAAAATCATGGTTCTGACCAACACTGGTAGAAAAATCATGGTTCTGACCAACACTGGTAAAGAAAAAATCTCGTCAAATATTTTATTATGATAGAAGAGTCTATTTACGTATAAGTTTAGGCGATCTTGCAGAAGTCTAGGTACCAGGAGGTGCTGTTTGGCTTGACCCACAGCAGGAATGTGAACATCCACAGCTTGTATTCCCTCCAGCCAGTTCTCACCAGCTTCAGACACCCTGAACACAACTGTCAGTTCCATTTACCGGCTGTCTTTCATTTTCCATGTTTAATGTTAAACACCATAAAACGGTATTAATGAGTATTAGCATTTTAATATCCTCCCTGTTTTATTAATCTGTGATGAAGCATGAAATCTACCATTGCTGTCAGCACCCACCTGTGAAATCTGCTGTTACTCTCCATGGGCTAGTTGCAGGGGGGTCTCTCTTGCTACCATCATTAGCACAATCAGCTACATCTACAGGTGCAGATAGTGTTTGTGATTTCCCCACTACAAACAAGATGATTATTCGGCCTTTTATAACCTACTTTTGCTTTTTTTTTTTCCCTAACAGGCTAATGTTAGCTCTTGTACAATTATGCAAGTATACAGTGGGTTGGGTTCTGATCTTAGCTCCATGGCCTTCAACGGAGATTCTTCAGATCACATCAAAAGGAAAACATGAGGCTGTATTTCAAGACTGGTGCACATAATTAATGTTAGAAATGTATACATAAATACAACTAAACAAATCCTAAGGCACTTACAGTTTTGGCCAAAAAAGAAGTTGCATGTTTATGCAGAACAATAAAGATGTAAGAAAAAGGGAGAGGGGGGGAAGAGGGTGTGCTGGAAGAAAGAGAAAAGTTAATTCTGAACCCTGTAGGTACATAGTTCATGGTTCTCATTGCTTAAAGGATAAAGCCAAATAACATTTAAAAATTCCATGTAAGCTGGGAGCTCTCTTGTTGAATCTCAACGTTATTTTCTCCTGATCCTTTGATGGAGATTAAAAATTTCCATGTGAATACAAAGAAAGAAACAACAGTTACTCTGAGATTTTTTCCCCAAGCATTTAATGCTCCAAACTAGAGCAGCCAGCCACCGTTC